CACAACCACCAAAACACTGCTATACTTAGCACATTCCGATGAGCGGGCATTTGGCGCGGGCAATTAGGGGGGGGGGGGAAGGGGGGCGTAGTTCCAGAGTCCTTGTATGAATATTGTCTTGGGTACCTCAAAAGACCTCGAAAATTATATAGGTAATTAATAGTATGTCCAGTGCCATCAAGTTGGCCCTTGCAAACCTCCAAGGCCAGAAGTGAAGTGGCCGGCATTTGCTGGGGAGCTTCGCAACGCTTCTGAGGATCGGACCAAGGCTGGAGACCAATTTTGCAGGTCTGCAAGAGTATAGGTGTTTTATAGGAAAGGAATTGGGATTTGACAGGGTTATAGCGTTTTTTACGTATATGCAGGGTTTAGGTTTTGAGGTGATGTGGCAATGAAGCAGATGGCTGGAGAGGTGGAATGGCCCCTTTGAGTCGTGAAGGTCTTGGGGTTGTGGCAAACCCCGTTTCTTGACGCATTCCACAATAGGGGACCCCAATACAGACCCCTATGTTGCATGAGATCGAAGATTCGACGTTCTCGACTCTCGACACAGGGTGCCACCAAGGTTGCCGGCTGAAGAGCTGCGTCTCATCTCCCTACGCCCGAAGCAGCCCAATCCCGGATGTTGAACCACCTCCATTTTCTGAATCCCGGCTTGAAATTCTGCAGACTTTGCAGGTTGAAATCTCAACTTCAGGTTTCAGATCAAGCCTGGGCAAGCCCAAATACTGCGCAAAGGCTGCAAGCTACCGAGCGGCTAGGCACTTGCTTCCGCACCTGCAGCCATGTGGTGGCTGCTGAGCCAGTTCGGCGCATGCCCATGCCTCAGCAGAGGTAAGGAAGCCCCCTCGCTGCCAGAAGAAGGCAGCGGTGGTGGCACGGACTTCGGCTGGGCCGTGGCTAAAAACGAGCGCCGCCGCATGGAGGACGCCGTCGACATCAAGGACGATGTTGCGGGCTTTAGAGTCTTCACCGTCTACGACGGTCATGCAGGCGATGAAGCAGTTACGGTCGTCAAGAAAATCCTGCCCGGCATCCTCAAAACCCATCTTGAGGAAGAGGATGATGTAGCAAAGGCTATCTGCTTGGCCTTCAGGAAGATCGACGAAGAGCTCACGCAGACGCTCTTGGCCGCAGCTGACACGCCCATGAAGGTGAAGACTTCGTCCGGCACAGTCGCATGCATGGCACTGCTCAAGGGCAAAGACCTATGGGTGTGCAACCTCGGCGATTGCCGCGCCGTTCTCTGCACGGGTGGCACCAAGGCGCATGCAGTCTCCAAAGACCATGCCCCAGACAAGAATGCAGCTGAAGCCGAACGGCTTCGGATGCTTGGAGTCCAGGTGAAAGGCGGCTACGTTGGAGATCACGTAGCCGTCTCCCGTGCGTTGGGGAATGTCGAGTATGACAGCGGCCAGAAGGTCGAGGGCATCATTTGTGAGCCTGAAGTCTTCAAGATTGCGGTGGACGACGAGGTCGACTTTCTCATCCTGGCGTCCGATGGCATCTGGGATCCGCTCAAGGACCAATTCGCTGTCACGCACGCAAGAAAAGCTCTACGAACCACTGAGCAGCCAGAAGATGCTGCGAGAGCGGTCCTTGAAAATGCGGCCAAGGTCAGTGCAGCTGACAATGCTGCCGCCATTGTTGTGGTTTTTAAGTTTCCAGAGCCCTTGCCGAAGCGCATTACGAGGCCACGTGCAACTCTTGCAGGCTTGGACGGGCCTCCGCCGTAGGTCCGAGACGGACATGAAACAGAAATTGATTCTGAAGAGGACTTTGAAGCTAGTCATTTGAAAAGTGTTTGCTGAAGAGAGCAGCTCCAGTCAAGATGAGTTATGATATTGGTTGCTCTTCATGTTCTAATAGCTTCCCAGCTACGAAGCGACTAGGCGCTTGCACTAGCACCCTTCTCCAGGTTGCTTATGCCAGATGCCGACTTCGGAGTTCTTCATAGCATGTGGTCCCATCATGGTAGTTTCCTAGCTGCCACATCGACTATCTCATACAAGCATTCCGCTCTACAATTTCAAGCATGGCGCCTGCTCGGTGTTTTGTGACATGATATCCCATGTTTCTGACAGCCAGCGAAAGGCGTTTATTTGAAGCCTAGCGTAAGCTCAGCTTTCTCACTACTGCTGATTGAGGTGCATCACTCTTGTCATGGGCAGCCTGATGCGTCATGATCGGCAGTAACAGTCCTCATATGTCCGCATCAACTCCACAGCAGCAGTCTAAGACCTTGTAGCATCATACGAGCTCTGTTGCTATTTCATTCCCAGCTGCTTTGTCCTGCGCAAGGCTGCTTGGCCTACTGCGCTCCTGCGCACGGAAGCCATAAGGCAACAGCGCCGGAGAACTCAGAATGGCAGAGCGAGTCCCCTCATCATGTCAATGAATTCTGGTGGTACGAAGGGTGGCAAGTATACAACAGCACAGGTCGTTCTGTAGCCTCAGTTTCGTAAAGATCGTATTGATGGCAATGATCAGTAACGCCGCCCTTTTCTTGCAAGCACTGAATATTTTCACAATGCTTTACTGCTGCATTTCATGCTGGGAGTATATGATGGTACTACCGTCTGGGAATTGCGGCAACCGCTGGACAGTCTAGTTCAGACTTTGGGATTCGCAGGTCTGATCTTTGGGGCTTGCTGCCTCTTGCAGATGGTCGGTAGGGAACGCCGAAATGGATCGCTAGTGCAGTTTCTTTTTGGCCCCTTCCGCGCGCTTCTATTCATAACCCATCTTTACATTCCCTGCTAAGGCCTACTAACCACCAGTAAGTTTCCACGTCACATGGCAGAGCCTGGAAAAAGGAATGAAAAAGCTCGAGGAATCGAAGAGCCAGGAGTCACCTAACCAGCTGGGCTCCCAGTCCTATAGGGAGAATTACCTATGCTAGTTCTAGAGTCCTTGTATGAATATTGTATTGGGTACCTCAAAAGACCTCGAAATTATGTAGGTAATTAATAGTATGTCCAGCGCCATCAAGTTGGCCCTTGCAAACCTCCAAGGCCACAAGTGAAGTGGCCGGCATTTGCCGGGGAGCTTCGCAACCCCTCTGAGGATCGGACCAAGGCTGGAGACCAATTTTGCAGGTCTGCAAGAGTATAGGTGTCTTTATAGGAAAGGAATTGGGATTTGACAGAGTCATAGCGTATTTTACGTATTTACAGGGTTTAGGTTTTGAGGTGATGTGGCAATGAAGCAGATGGCTGGGGAGGTGGAATGGCCCCTTTGAGTTGTGAAGGTTCACGGGAAGGGCCTTGGGGTTCTGGCAAACCCCGTTTCTTGACGCATTCCACAATATGGGACCCCAAGATAGAACCCCCATGTTGCATGAGATCGAAGATTCGACGTTCTCGACTCAGGTTGCCATCAAGGTTCCCAGCTGAACAGCAGCATCTCATCTCCCTACGCCAAAAGCAACGTGAGCGATTTCCTGAGCCCAGACCTTGAACCTCAGACTTTGCGCACAATTCTACACCTCCATTTCCTGAATCCCGGCTTGAAATTCTGCAGACTTTGCAGCTTGAAATCTCAACTTCAGGTTTCAGATCAAGCCTCGGCAAACGCAAATACTGCGCAAAGGCTGCTAGCTACCGAGCGGCCAGGCACTTGCTTCCGCACCTGCAGCCATGTGGTAGCTGCTCAGCAAGTTCGGCACATGCCCATGCCTCAGCAGGAGTGAAACATCGACATGATGCCCTCGATTTTTTTTGCCGCCGTCGTAGTGGATGTTCCCCAACGCACGGGAGACGGCCACGTGATCTCCAACGT